TACTCGTAATATATTTTCATTTATCAGCAACATGCTAGACTGGACTAGTTATATATATGTATGCCAGTAAGTATGTGATTAACACACCTATAGCTTTCCAAGTATATAGTTGTAAATACTACGCTGCGGCTGAGCAAATGGATGAGGTATTTACCTCCTTACACCCCATACCACGTGGTCTTACCGACTACTATGTTGAGATTAAATATATTTGTTTTTATTTAATTAATCTTTTAAGTCAATAAATTTCTTTTTCGTCAACTCAGAAAGATTGAGTGTTTGAAATTTTTCTTTATCCCTTTTGTCCACTTTCCCTATTGCTCATATTTTACTTTCCTTTGTCCATATAAATATCATACGTGTATGTATGTATACTCGGTAATAGATAAGAAGAGAACTTCAGTTCAAATGTTTATTGCTTATTTCCAGTTGTTGCAATGTCACTGGGGCAGATCCGGTGGTTGCTCACGAGGCATTTTGTCTTGCATATGTAAATTATAATGAATTGCACCGACATACATACACATATTTACATATATATCAATATTTATACGTTGGGAGACCATAAGATAAGCTTTCTATATACAAACATACATGCATATATAATTTTATTAAAATGAATATGTGCGCATTTCAATACTATATACTCGTATACATATAATCCTCACGATATCAGGTTCCATGGCGCAATGGCCTCCGATCTGCTAGGCGCTAACCAAGAAAAAAAGAACAATGTTATAATTTCTGAATGGCAGGCTGTAAACACAGATGTATATACATATATTAAGATTTTATTCACGCTAATTTTTTTTAATGATTTCCGCAAATATATTGTTACACATTAAAAATGTTGATAAAAACATTTAAATTTTTTTCTATTTTTATTTCTTTTAGTATTTTATCATATTTTATTTAATACTTTTTTTAAGTTTTTCGAATTAATTTTTTTATAATTTTTTATTTTTATTTTTTTACTTTATTTATTATGTGAGCTTATTGCATTTTTCATTAATTTAATGTCATTTTATTTAATTAACTGTATTTTATTTTATATTATTATTTTTATTCAGTTTTATATATTATATTATGTATATTTCATTTTAATTTATTTATCCGGTTTTGTTTTACTTGCTTCATTTATTTCATTTTATTTTATTTAAATTAATTAAATTATTTTTATTATTTTATTTTAGTTTATTTTATTTTATTTTATTTTATTTTATTTTATTTTATTTTATTTTGTTTTATTTTAGTTTATTTTATTTTATTTTATTTTATTTTATTTTATTTTATTTTATTTTATTTTATTTTATTTTATTTTATTTTATTTTATTTTGTTTTATTATTTTATTTAATTTTATTTTATTTTATTTCAATTTATTTATTTGTTTTTTTTTTTCATTTACCTTCTTGTACTCTACGAGTTGTATTTTATTTAATACAAAAAAATTAAATTAATTTCATTTTTCTAATTTGTTTGATTCAGTTTTTGAACAAAACTTATAATTATTTCAGTTTTGATAAATTTACAAATATATATACGTATGTATAACGGATTTGTATGTTTCCGGTAACGATATTTCATCACAGAAATGTCTAAAAATAAATTGGCTTTCATACTTTGTGTGTTAAATTTGTAAAAAAATATCGTTTAGTGCCCTGGAAAGTAAACTTAAAATATTTATTAAATTATATATTGTAAAAAAGCATATTTTATCGCACCCATGCAAGAATAAGCCCATACAAAATATGTAAGCATGCATATCGCGAATTCCACAGCTGCCCTAACGCGGCATCCAACTAAATACGTATTCAGTATGTTTTTAACCTCCGCCTAGAGGCACACTTTATGTAACGGAAATCCCTTATCGAATTAGAACTATAGCTCAGTATTTGCCATTTAGCAAACGCGCCATTTTTTTGTGGTGCAAAAGTAGCAACGCATAGTAACCGAGGCCTCTGACACACGCGCTTTTCAATTGCGTGCAACCTATTTATCATCGCTTACGCACCACTTCCGTCTTCTTGGGCTTGTTGGCATAATTGAAAGTTTTTGACTTACTTTTTTCCCACACTGTGTTATCTCTAATGCAAAGCGCGGTTAAAATTTCTAGAACTTTTACGAATTATAAAAACACAACAGTTATATTTTATATGCAAAATGAAAGATATATTTTTTCTAATTTCGAAAATTAACTGCATCGTATTTTATTAGATTAAAAATAATTAAAAATACTTGAAATTAACCCTGTAAAAATTACAGAAACAAGAAATTATTTAAAAAAAAAAATAATTTGTCCAATCTGAAATATGGCGGCTTGCGCAAGTTTTGTTGAAGAACTTTTATTTGATCTGGATGATGAAGGACTGGACGCTAGTCTCTTTTCCACCACGACTCCAATACCTAATTTGAACACCATTATATGGTACATAGTACACGCAAGATGGGCCTACACGCTTTCCTCCTTGTCCGGACAATTTAGGTGCCTACCCACAAATCGTTGTTCTTAAAACGTGTGCAGTATTCGTAATAACAATTGGGGTCTCTCGTATGAGTCTTTTTTGTTTACTTTCAATGGAGAGATTTTTACGGGGCGGGTCGATACCCGAGAAGGTGTAAGATACATTTCTATATCGAGCTGCTTTCCTCAAGACCGACGACCGCTCGTAGCCACACCAGGAGTGAATAGATGCTACGAAAGGAAACTAGTTTCCCTGCCATTTAGCCTTAGCCGAAAATTTAAAGGAGACAAGGAGCCCCTGCAAATGCTTATAAATGTCAAATTACTGTGCTTAAAGCGGCGTTGACCACAGTTATTGACAATGTGAAATAAAAACTTAAAATCTACCCTGGCTCGTTTGATATCCTTAGAGTTGCCATGAACCGGACAAGTAATATAGCAGTGCGATATAAGAGTTGCAACGTGGAAGTCCTGGCATTGTTTCTCTCTCCCCCTCTTTCTCTCCTTCTCCCTCTATCTATTTCTCTCTCTCTCTCTCTCTCTCCCTCTGTTTGTCTCTCTCTCTCCCTCTGTTTCTCTCTCTCTCCCTCTGTTTCTCTCTCTCTCTCTCTCTCTCCCTCTCTTTCTCTCTCTCTCTCCCTCTGTTTCTCTCTCTCTCTCTCTCTCTCTCTCTCTCTCTCTCTCTCTCTCTCCCTCTCTCTCATTGACTTGAATCACTATTCTGTTGCCTGGGTCAACTCTGGCGGTGAGAGGAGATGAGAGTTATATCCACTCCCCAGTAGCGAAGATTCTTGTGGACTTGCTGTTCGCCAACCTTCATATACCTTCTGATTTCAGCATCACATAAGTATGGCTACACAGCCCCACTACTGCTTTTAACACAATAAACACTCATATGGACAACGGCCTCAACCAAAAACAGCCCTGGGCACGAACTGTCGTATTGGCACTGGATCTGTTAAAAGCTTTTGAACTTTCAGTGCTACTCTCGGACATTGAGGAATCCTCATTACCACCGGGATTTTGCTGTCAGCTTAAAAGGTAATTGGGCGGCCGATCTGGGGGACTAGTGAGCCGCAGATCAAGAATCTACCAAAACACCTACTCAGGACAGTGATAGGAAAGCTTCTGATGTCGACAGAGCATAACTTGCACAACGAAGCATCTTTGCTACGAGTTAAGAGCCATAATGCTTTGCTGGGCAGCCAATTTCTGCTGTGACGATATCGAAGGAAACGCCCCAATAGAAACTTATTAGAAACTGAAACACCATCCACTTGCATCAGAAAGGGTGTGCCTGAGCTTAAGGACTGTACTCAGCACCACCTACAACAAACGCTAGATAGGCCGACCTACCGCTATTCACTGAGAGTCCGTCAGCATCTTCTTGAATTCTCTTCCAGTGATTGGCGTTCTCGGAGTAAAACCACCACCTACGGCAGGTGAAGAGCTCGAGCTGCCTAGAGAGTCCCCGTAATACTGGCACGATTCAGATCTGGATGCTGTAGGAGATTGAGCTCTTTCCGACATACCCAGCATATGGCCACCTGTTTGCCAACCCTCTTAACCCAACTCAGCCAACACCCCTCTTCTTCTGTTATGATGCTGCCGTAACAGCTCGTTTACTGGACCTCCAGTTAGATGATCTCAATGACTTAGACTGATCTAGCGTGTTCCTAGGCAAGGTTAGAATACCGTTACAACAACAACAGCTGTGAGGTGAGAGAGCAACTCGTCTTGCACCCCCGCTCTAATAAAACGTTCATCAATCTAATTGTGGACCGAAATGTCCCCGCGTATCGGCGCAAAAAAAAAATGTGATATCGTTACAAGCTGAATAGGTGAAAGAAACGGTTCTAGAGTCGGAAACTGCCCGCAATCTTTTGACTCGGAAGCAGAGGCTCTAAAGTTCACTCGAATGTAGAAAGTATTCATCTCGAAATGTTCTAAATCCGAATGGTATTTTTGTGAGCAAAGATTTTTCAAACTTAACGGTTGCTTCATAGATCGATTAGCACTGTTACTAATGCACACATACATATCTATTATACATTCAATTTACGAGTGTTTGTGCATTTATTGCAATACAATAACGCCTTATCGGTTGGCAGTTCCGTTCTGCTCGAAGTGTTCCCATTTCATTTGTTCAATCCAGCCTTATCCTAAACCCATTGCTACAAGCTAATGGCAGCACCCAATTGGATATGTATGTAATAGTGTTGAGGCTACTCATATCCAACATACAAAACATATTTAGATATATAAAGCTGTGTACATTCAGACACTGAGTGACATTGAGCATTATTAAAGGCGCGCTTTTGCCTCATCTAATTTCTAGTTTTATGAATGAATTCAAAAATAACAACAGGAAATACGAAATTGTACATTTTTACGCTGCTTTGACGTAGATAAGGAAGTACCCAGCATGAGCGCATTCTAGTTTTTAGTTTTTTTTTTAGAAATTTATATTTAATATTTTTGATCTTTAATATTCCTAAATTCACTAGCTTTTACATATGTATTATATGAAGGTGTTTTTAATGTTGGTTCACTCTTGTTTATTTAAATCAAATAACATTTCACCTCTTTTCAATGAATTAGTGCTTTAAAAAAATTAAATTATAGTAATCTGGCATTGTTGGTTTCGTTGCGAAAAATCGCAAAAATGCGAGTTATCTTTCAGCTCCTGCTCAAGCCCTTCGTAAAGTAGTCAATCATTCACCCTCAACACAAAAGCATTTTTTTTTGTTCAAAATCCTGGATCCCAGTCTGTTTCTTGTTCTTCCAGGCGTGTTGTGTAGCATATTATGGTGTCGCCCGGCTGTGGTAAAATTTTTGGATCCTTAAAACGCAATCCGCATTCCACATCTTTCTTGATTGAATCCACTTCGTTTTTCAAATGACGCATAGACTCCAAGTGACCTTTTGAAAAAATGATATTTTCATAAATTCTCTACTTCAGCAGAAGCCATAGAATCTTACCTTCATATAGAACCTCATCATTACGTAGTAAACGAAATTTGTGGGCCTTTTTCAGTAAGCCCTTCACACACCGACAGCCAGCCACAGGCACTTCTTTACGACCTTCGTTAATAAAGAATTGTTGTAGCACATTCGCCTCGCCCACCACCTCTTCCACCTCCACTGGTGGCAGTTTACTGCTCAATTCTTTTTTTAGGTCATCTATAAGCCGATAGATGACATCATAACAACGTATAGCCACACTTTTTGGTGCATTTGTTGGTGCAGGTACAGAGAATCCATAAATGATGGCATTGAACGTTTTAGCCAATTCAATGTCACCTTCTGTGACATTTCCCACACCGTAATGCACAACGTCCAATTGACAACGTTCGTTGCTGGTGTAAGTATCGAAGACATCTAGGAGCGCCTCCACAGAACCGTGTACATCGCCTTTAACGATAATACTAACACGTGGCACATTATCATGATCAACAATTTCCTTTTCTCTGGGGCCATAACGCATACGAAATTTGCCTGCCAGCCGTCGCGCATCACGCTCAGCACGATATTTGGTCAAATGTTCCTCCTCTTTTTTGCGAATTTCATCAATAGCCTCTTCGGCTTTGTGATGCTTGGCTTCGTGTTCTCGCCAACGCAATACGGAATGCGCTTTTTTCTGTATAGAAAAACGTGGATAGTTAAATCTCATTAACGGAAGAAAATCATATACACTAACCTCGGATTCTACTTCAAGTATAATATCGCCAGCTAGTGGCAGCTCACGCCAACCCAATATCTCCACCGGCGTGCCAGGTGGTGCCTGAGTCATTGGTTTGCCATTATGATCGAAGAGTCCGCGCACTTTGGCATGCGCTAAACCACTTACAAGCACAGCGCCCTTACGTAGGGTTCCACGAGTTACAATCGCAGTGGAGAGCTTTCTTAAAACAAGAGTTTTACAATAGAGACAGTAGACAGCTACATAACCAACTTACCCCCTATTGGGATCTGTTTTAGATTCCACTACTACGCCTTCAATTAGACCAGTCGGTTCTGCTTTGAGGCCCATAATAGTCGCTTGTGTACTCACAGCCTCTGTTAGGAGTTCCAGATTAGTACCTTTCAGTGCCGAAATGGGTATGGCTTGTATATCACCACCTTGATCCTCTAGCACCAATCCCATTTGCATTAAATCACGCTTTGTTTTTTCCTTTAAATTCAAATAAACAATGGTACTAATTTAAGCAGCTTAGTAAAGTGGAAATGCTTACAATATTTGCTTCGGGCTTATCGATTTTATTAATGGCCACAATAATAGGTACTGTAAACGAATTTTTAGCTTTATATATCTTTCCCATCATGTCACAATCAAAGTGTAGACTTGCCTTTTTCATTTAATGCCAATTGTATGACTTCTCGCGTTTGCGCCATTACACCATCCTCAGCAGCGATCACCAGTACTATTATATCCGTGACATGTGCACCACGCGCACGCATTGCACTGAAAGCTGCATGGCCGGGTGTGTCAAGGAAAGTCACTTGCTCACCATTATCAAGCTTTACAGTAAAAGCACCAATATGTTGAGTTATACCACCGGCTTCACCAGCCGCCACAGCTGCACCACGTAACGAGTCTAGCAGAGTTGTTTTGCCATGATCTACATGACCCATAACAGTGACAACTGGTGGGCGTGGTTTTAACAACTCTGGCGGCGCTGGTGGTCGTGGTGTTATATCATGATGTTTACCCAATTCATCAGAATCTACGCTGTCATCTTCGGGCGCGGATACAATACGTGTCTTTGCCCCACTTTTATTGACAATTTCTTGTATAATTTTAAGATCATCTAATCGCGCGTTTGGCTCAATATTGTCTGCACCTTTTACGTATAACATTATCTCCTGCACGTCCTCTAAAATAAAACAATTTACTTTTGATTGTTTGAGAACACTTGAGAACAATTGTATGCTTACCCAATGAGCGTTGCATAGAATTTGCCAGTTCTTGAACGGATATATGTCGCCAAACATCGACTATACCTTCAAGTTTTGCACCATGTTTTTTCTTTTTGGGTGAGTACTCAATAATACGATCGGATTTCTATAGCAGACAATATATTCATACATGCTGAAAATGTAGTAACTAGCACCATTCACTAACCTTTTCCTCGCCGGTTTTCCGTCGTTTGCATAGGACATCGCAAGTGTAAATGTTCCTACGAGTCGCATTGTTTTTAATAACTGTTGTTACTGGAGAGCCTGGCGCCCTTATGGCAAGATGTTGCCCGATACTCGATCTACAGTACCTCATGCTGCAATAATGGCTGCGCGCTAGTGTACTATAAAAAGAATATGGCAAAAGTTGAATAAAAAACGCATACTATTAAAATTATTTGATTTTTTAAAATTGGTTTGAAAACTTCTTTTTACGAATCAAATTTTAATAGTTGCAAAAAATATATAATTTTCTTATTACCGCACAAACGAACGAAAAAACATTTTACGTAAACTTTCTAACTGTCAAGAGACCGGTGACGTTTTTTTCTTTTGTTTACAAAATGAGTCAGCTGTTGGAGTGGTTGCCACACAAAACTAACTTGTATATTTTGAAATAAGCAGAGCAATAATAGCGGAAAACTGCATGAAAAAAATGCAATGTAGGAAAACTTTACATTTTTGTGATAATTTCTCCTGCAATATACGAAAGGGCAGCAGAAAATTATATTCATAAATTACGCCACAATAATTTTCAAAATCCTTCAGTTTAGATCACTAGATAAAAGCCCAAAAAGTGATTTTTCTTCCTCTTTAAGCACATGGTTTATTACTTATTTTTAAACATGCTGTTGACCAGTCATGTCACCAACAAGTTCTCTACTCAACAGACATTCCACAGTGTGCTTCGCTCCCATTTACTCACCAGCGTTGTCATATTGTAGGCCTTTGAGATCAGCCCGGGTTCAAATATTGATGCTAGCTACATCCAAGAGCTACAGAATATTAATTTAAATAAAAATTAAGTTAAATATTCTTATTACGGTCACCCCTCGGCCGGGAATGTGAACTCCTCCGAGTGTATTCATAACATGAAATAAAAAGTTCTTCAAAAAAAGACCATCAACCGTTCAAATGCGGTAGGCCCTTTCATTTGTTGGAAAAAACATTTAGACGCAAAACTACATATTGAAAGAGCAAAATCGCTTCAGCGCCTATTATATAACTAAGACCATCCCTTGCTTTATTAAGCCAAACATAGCTTTTCCTGTGCAACTCCCTCAATCGAGCAGGGCACATAGTTTGACTAACATTACTCTTCGTTTTTTACTACATCTAATATTTGTGAACAAAAAAATCATGATTCAATTTAATTTATATATGTTTATGCGAAATCTCTCCCAGTGTATTTCGGGCGTCATCAGATCATCGAAGGCGGCGTTTAAATGGTAGGTCCCCAAATTAATAGAAAGAACTTCAAGAGGCAGACACATTTCATGGAAAGTTGCTTCCGCAATTATTCAGCGACAGTTGTTTATTTATGATATTTTTATAAATATTATTAAACCACATTAAAATTTAACGTTTCCTTGAAAATACAAAACTTTTCACTTTGCTAATTTGATTGGCATTTGGAAAGGTATTTATTTTTCCTATCTTCAGGCATTGCAAATAGGTCTGGCATTTCTAAAAATTTTTATACCAAAATTAATGAGCTTAGCTAAGCGGGGATGTGCGCCATCTATACGCATTATTCACCTTAATGTGTGGCGTGCGCTGAGCGCGCTATCTGTGTGTGAGTATACCTTGTGTGAGCCTGGTAAAATCAAGTGTAGAAAAAATTTGGCAACCGTTAATAATAAGCTTTCGTTCGGTAATTTAGTGAAGATCTGAATCAGTGAAAATGTCATAAAAGCTACCGTTAAGTGAAAATGGAAATAGTAAAAAAGTGTATTTAGTGAAATAATAATTTGTGAGTTACGCTTAATAGTGTTTGTTAGTGTTGAGATTTGTTGCAATTGAGAAAACATTTCTACCAATTTTTGTTAGATTAAAAAGCTGTTATTTTAAATCTCGACGCTGACAATATTCCTTGGACTTTGGTTAGCGCTCTACATAACATATACTGGCATACATATATATGATCAGTCCACCAAATGCCAATAACAAATTGCATAAAATAACTTTCTACGGCATATATTGTATGCACTTGTATATGCTCGTAAGCATGCGTACATATTAATGTATGTATATATGTATGTATAAATATGCTTTTGCCTATTCTGCACTGCACTGCACTGCATAAATCACAGCCGTCGCTGCTTTCCACTGTCACTTAATAACATTTTAAAGCATATTGTATGTTTAAATGATTGCTCCTTGATAAACAGCAGTCAAACGGCAACTAACAGACAAACCAGTCAACTAGCCAACTTATCAGCTTGCTTGTCTGTCTTCCTGTGTGTGGGTCCACAGTGCGCTTGCCAGGATGCATCGTGCTGTTGGCAACTTCGACAAGCGACAGCGCATCTGTTTGAATTATGATGAAGCGCGCAAATATTCCAGATGCAAATATTTGCATGAAAACTAACTGTAAGTAAGTACATATACAAACTTACATGTGTACGTGAATATATTGTATAATCGATTGTTGGAGCACGCACTTGGTTCAGCTATCGACAAGAGTCGCAATCGTTTGAGTAAATTACGTAGTAGATCAGAGAGCAGAGAAAGAAAAGGACCAGCGCGGTCGTGACGAAATATACAAGTATTTATGTTTTGTGTAAAAAAGATTTTTTTGGTTCTATATTTATTTGATGGTAAAACAGGTAAATGTATATATGTATGTAATTATTTAAAATTTTATATAGACATATTTTTTTCTTAGGTTTACTTCCTAGCCTAATAATTGATTTCAATGGCCTACGAGGTTGTTCTATCATAGTAATTCCATATGTCACCCAGTTTCACACAGTTCTACATATATGTACATATATGTACATACATTAAAATCATTGTACGCACTTATCATACATAACTTTCGTATACCTCATCGGCATTATAGTTAAAATTCTCAATCTCATCTGCTTCCTACACTTAAAGCGCCCGGAAATATGCTGCGAATTGTACATTCTAGCTAAGTGTAAGTTATACAGGGTCATTATGATTATTTTTTGAACATTTATTATTTTTAAATAGATATATTAAATTCGAAAATATTTTCAACTTAAGTTAAATCAATTAAATTAAATTAAAATAAAATAAAATAATTATTTAATAAGCAAACTAGAATAAAGCAAAAACAAAGTAAAAAACAATAAAATAGATAAAAAAATAAAAATATAAAATAATGAATTAAAATAAAAAATAATAATACTATGAAATGAAATGTAAGGAAATAAACTGAAATGAAATGAAGTAAGATAAAATAAATAAATTAAAATAAAATAAAATAAAATAAAATAAAATAAAATAAAATAAAATAAAATAAAATAAAATAAAATAAAATAAAATAAAATAATTTAATTATAATATAAGACAATATAATAATATAAAGTATAAAATAAAGTCTAGAAAAAAACCATACACGTAAAACATAATAGAAAAAGTTATTAGAAATAATATAATGCAAAATAAAACAAAAATTAATTACAAAATTTCATACAATCTCTATTACATTATATACATACGAATGTAACGATATACACCTGCTGTCAAAATAACAGCACCATTAGTAAATACAATAATAAAAATATGTATACATAACGATAAAAAAAACGAACTCCATTTAAGCCAAAAATTAAATTTTTTTCCAAAAATCGAAAAAAATCTGTCAAAAAATAATAAAAAAAAAAAATAAAAAAATAATAATCTTGACCTGAAAGCAAAAATATTAAAATTTTATTAATATTTATTAATATTTTATTGCGTTATTCTTGTTAGAAATAATTGCTTTGCAGCGTCTTCCCATGAAACTGACCAAGTTCGGACACTTTTGTAATGAAATGGAGTGCTAGGCTTGGTGTACCGTGGCCGAAAGCTCTTAATTTTTAATCGGTTTGACCTCGAATAACTTTTTCTTAATCTCTGCCCCCAAATTTTCACTGTAGTTTTAATCTGTGGACTGGCCAGGCTATTCCATCAAAGGGACATTATTGTCCTGAAACGATTTTTTCTTTGCGGCACATTTTTTTATTACATTCCGAATTTGGTCTTCCTCTAACTAAGGATCCCACCAAATAAAACTACTTTACACTCAACTGTCCACAGAATATTTTCAATCGCTCTTTCTAGGCAGTTTTTAGAAAACGCCAATTGTTTGTACACGTGGTTATTTGTTAAAAGAGGGATCTTTCTTGGACTGTGAGCTATTAGATTATGTTCTCTAAGTCTCCTGTATATTGTCCCAGTGCTAATCGCCAGTTCCAATTCCCTTTTACTTCTGCACCTGTCATGTACGGAGATTTATTTATTTTTCGTCCTATGTGACTGACCATTACGCCTGCGGCTACTGTTTTTCATCCACTTGTTTCGGTTTTAAATTGAACAGAAATTGCATTTCGTAGCAACCAAAAATATTTCAAACTCAGCTGCAATTTATTTTCCTAAGAAACTCATTTTTCTTATTTAGACAGACTTTTCATATGTACAGTGCTTAGCATAAGCCATTTCGAGCACTAGAGGGCCTAAATTTTTAAAAAACTTATTGTGAATATGTCAATATGCCAGTAGCAAATTACCGTTGTAAATTGTTTTAAAAATATATTTGTGAAATTTGTGACCTTTATTTTAATTTATATTTTGGGTGCTATTATTTTGACAGCAACTGTATTTAAGTTCTAAATAAAATCGTTTTGCATTTAGTGTATAATTTATAGCTTAGTTGCAAATTCTTGTCACTCACCAGCACATTTGAGCTGGCGCACGGCAATCGATGTAGCATTCTTGACTGAAACACCTCACTTCCTCACCGGCCATTCCCTGAGTGTGCAGCCTCCTTGGTTGCTTGCAAGGCTACTTGAACAGCTTTTGCTGCTCTGCTGCTATTTGTTGTACTTCATACATACATATAATATTTATGTACATATCGCAGGCAGCGTACAAGCACACAGCTCCTTTCTTAGGCAGATGTCCTACAACAACAATCAAGTGTATGTATGTTTGTTCTCAATGGAAACTCAAACAGCGCATAAATTCGCGGAAGTGCACCGAAACTTAACAATTTATCTAGGAAAATGTAATTAGGATACATTGCCTGCTTGAAAGCAATAGATACCCGTTTGCGTCTGCGTCTGCGCCCCCCTTCGAACGGTGTAGTACACATGTACAAACACGGTACTAGTGGATTCTAAGCCGCTGTGGAGGGCGCGCCAGCCTGCTTGTTCCGTTGGTGTGGTGAGGCGATTGCGATTTAATTTAATTCAATTTTCAATCTCTGCAATTGCGGCGTCGACAACATTAATTCCAAATGTAGCAACAAGGCAGGCAGACATAATGTCGAGCAGAGGATTTAACAGCGAGTGGATCGGTGAATCATGTATGTATGTAC